AGAAAAGAAAAGAAAGAAAGAAACCAAAATGCTGAGTGGTTGAATCTCAGTGAATTAAGGGACTCATACACAAGCTGTTCGTTCTAGTTCAGCGGGTACACCAAACTTCAGGAAAAATGTTCAACAGCTATGATGTGATCATGAATAATATTCTGCCTTGGAGGGAAGCAAGCATTGTACCAGGCTGAAAAAGATATGTCCATGGAAAGCTTCCTGACACCAGGAGGAGATCAAGAAATACCACAGAAAGGAAAAACCCCTTCTAGAATCTGGTTTAGCATTCAGTTCCTTCACCCAATTAATACAGGGAGTGTTTCCAGGATTTTAACTATTTTTTTTCTGAGGATTTTTCACAGGTGCTTCTATGGGTGAGACTGCTGCTCCAGAGAGAAGAGAGGCCTAGATGGAGTCCCATGGAAAAAGGGCTGAGTAGGAGAAATGAGGTCCTAATTTTAGTAGCAGGACTTTGAGCAGAAGTCACTTGGACAGAAGAATGGTTGCCTTAGAAACAGACATGGCTTCTCCAAGGAGAGCTGAGTGAGAGTTTTATGATGAAGAAATGAGGTCACCTGTTTAGGAAAGATCCACGGATGGATGCCCAAGCTCTAGTAAGAGATAAGACCACTGCTTGTGCTATAAGACCTTAACTTCCTACTTGACCCAATTCTAAATAAGCCATAGCTCCATGGAGGTGGGGCTCAAGAAGGCAGGTGTAAGCTTTCAAGAACAACAACCCAGAGCCCAATGTCTGCAAGCACATACCGTGAACTTAGGGCCAAGGTGGTCTTTAAGTATCTACAATGCTGAAGGATACTTCAGCTACTGCTGGGCCTGTGTCCTAGCACTAACCATCTGAAAATTATTCTCAAAGAATAGCTTTGCACGTCTATACACTGGGTGAGACAAAGATATTTTATGATCTACCAGGAAAAACGTATTTATTTTTCTATTCTAATTTGGTGAGAAGCTAAAAAATGGACAGAATGTCTCCCACCGTCAAATTGTGACTAGAGAACTGTTTGAAACGTGTAATAATGGTGGCGTTGACCATTGAAGTATTTGTCATCGGATGAAGATTGGGGGTCTGAACTGTGAACCAGATTGCGTGCACACTGCAGAGTATGTAAATCAAGGAGATGCTGAGATGAAATCATAGCCTGAGAAGTGTGAAGCTATGTGAGAAAGCCACAAAGGATTGTGGGTTATTTTTGTTCACTTAATTTTCTTTTCCTTTTAACACAGAGAAGGAACATGCTGTGCATTGGGCTGTTCACACAGAACAGCTGAACTTTATTATGCTTTCTTTTAATTACAGCTTTCTCAACTCGGTTCTATGTAGGGCTTTTGTTTCTGGAGGGTAAAGAGAGTGTAGCCACACAACAGTGTTGGCAGGGGCTGCTTGGAAGGTAAGAGAAAGGGTCTGGCACATCTCTGGCACGAGGATTAAGGCTTAGGAACCAAATCTTGCTCACCACTGAGATTCTGTGAATCCGTATCATACTTGGAGGGGAAAATATAGTTAATGTAAGAGTCAGGTATATTTGAAAATTGGAAAATGAGGAAATTACACTTTTAGAGGAAAGCATGCCGAAACACTATTTCTGTGTACTTACTAGGAACTCATTAGGGCACTTGAAAGCCGCCAGAGCTGCACCAGAATGCTGTATGCTTTATATTTCAGGGTCTATACAAGTGTCTGAATGTACCAGGTCTATAAAAGGAACAAATCTTGACTCCGCTTTGAAGAGTCATAAGGATGCTTATCTGAGCATGCGCTGAACTTTAACTTGAGACTTCATTTCTGCTATGCTGATATTGTATCTGCGCTTTTTCTTTGTGTTCGCCTATGGTGTACCGCTGTCTGAAGCACTAAGTGGCACTGTTCTCTCTCTGCCACCTCCGTGTTAGTTGGGTCAAAGAAGATGCTAAGGTAAGGAGTGAGGGAAGAGAGAGATGGAAGTTTCCACAGCTGAAGATAAATGCGCAAGAAATCCTGAAAATAAGAATGGAACATCTGTGTATAATAAAGAAAGCAATAGATGTTTAGAGAAGGGGAAAGATGATGGAAAAACAATGGCTCTGACAGATTAGAAAGATTTTCAAAAGAGGGATTTGGTGAACGGAAGACCATAATAGCACTGAAGGCAACCAGCACCTGGGGAAAGGATTTCATTTTTACAATGAAATAAAAAGATGGTTTTTCAAGATATTGTTGGCTGGATGGAGGGATGGAAATAAAATCAAGTTCTGTTTGGGCATTTGTCCCGGTGAGCTCAATTTGTAGAAGGAGTTAGATTTACCAGATTTGCAGTGAAGCCTCTGTGCTGGAGGCATGCGGAGCAGAGGGATGACCCATGAGCATTCGGGCCAAGAACTATTGGACTCGTAAAGGAGTGAAGCACTTAGAACACAGAGAGGAGGAAATGCAAAAGCCAGGACATGGAGAAATAGAAAAACTAATGCCCTGTCCTAGATAATTCTCTCTGGATTTATCTGGACAGCCCAAAGGCCTCTTCTATCAAGACTTTCATTTTATGGGCTAGCATTCTCTTCTTGGCCCAGGGATGTCTCTGTTTTGTCATATATCCCAAGCTTGCTGTAGTGGATGGTTACATTGATTTTGCTTTGGTCTCAGGAGCTATCAGTAATATAAACATATTGACTGCCTTGGATAGTTCTAGCAATCACTATAGTTTATTGGAGTCATCTATGAAGAGTGCAATAGGAGCATAGGCAGGAGGAACGAATGAGTGGGCCATTGGCTTTGACTTTAAGGATTAAGAACGGAGATAAGACAAACAAACGAAACATACACATGCAAAACTTGCAAGTGATATTGCATGAATCTCTACTCAGCATGCTTATTTACATACAAGTGTATGTTCCTCAGCATTCTTACTGCAGAACTGCAAACTGGACCCGGATGAGTAGCATCAGGTAGCTGGTCAGACAGCGTTAGGAAACAGTGCACTTGTAAGATTTCTGAAGCAGAAAACAAGCACCAGCATCCCAGGGTAGGTGGGTGGCAGGCAGAATGCGCCCTGGGCCAGGGGTGTCTGTGCACAGATCATGCCAAGCAGAAAACAGGCACTGGCAGGCAGTGGAGGTATGTGCAAAATGGAATGTGAAAGAAGAGGGAGGGAGGGAGGCCCACAGTGAATGAGAGGGGCACCTCTTCCCACCTCTCAGGACAGCACGTAGCAGCTCCTGCTGCACTCCTCTTCGCGTTCCATCAGATACTATCCTTGCACATATTCCTGGTATCAAGCCAACATGTTAAAGCTGGAATGCATTTTCTGTGACTCTTACTATGGTGGCAGTGGAGGGACTATAAAAGGAGGTTGCAGAGATGACAGATAGCAGAGAACTGGGTGAGGCGATACAGGCACCCCTTGTGGCACTGAGAAAGAAGAAACTGCTTTAGATGATACCTTACAGAAGTGAAAATTTCAGTGAAGATAAAAAAGTGGAGAGATCCTCCATGGACCGGAAGAGGTGCTATTTCAAAATATGTTAAATAGAGATGAAGAAATGGAAAGCTTTTTATCAAGATGGTCATGTATGGGGATGCTGTGAGGAATGCTGATTCAGTAAAGATGGTCTAACATCAGTGCATAAAACAAGCCACATAGAAAGAAAGCTTTCTTTTTGGGAGTTCAGAAGATTCTCTACTGAGGTTTGATTGGGAGCCATGGCACATTCTTTCTCGGTGCCTCATTAAAACAGATGTGGAACGTCCTAATCCTTTCTCCAGCCCAGCCATCATGAAGGAGAGGCAGGCTCCTGCCCATCCTGTTCAGGCAATGACATGTGGAAGGAAATGACTCCCCCCACCCCCATTCTCTGCCTCCCACGGAGCAGCATGGGAAGCCAGCAGGCTTGGGCTCAACCCAGTGTCGGAGCACGGGAAGCAACTCCGTGCCCTCTCCGCTCGGCACCAGCTACGTCCTGCTCCACTCCTGGGTGCTCCTTTCCTCTCCAGGGTCACTCCCTGCCTGGCCACGGAGGGCTGTGGTGCTATCTAGCTCCTTCTTTTTGCAGCCTGGCATGCTTGCTTGCTTGCTTTCAAGGAGTTTAAAGGTTGGCTCCCAAGGTCGGCCCTGCACACTTCCATCTGCTTTCTCGATTCAGCTCGTGCGGGAGGCTTACTGGCCATATATCTATGTTCCATTTCCTTCCTTTCTTTCTGTGGACAGCAGCCAGGGGGCTCTTCGGATGGGGCTTTTGGGTCTATGAATGGCACCAATGCTGTAAAACAGAGGGACTGGAATACGTTTTAATTTATTTTTCAATGGGAAAAGGCCCAGTTAAATAAACCAACTTATGAAAAGATAAAACCAAAACAACAAAAAGCTCACATACCTCAAAAGCAAAGAAAAAAAAAATCCAAACAATCCCCCCCAACCCCAAACAAACCTCAAACAAAGGAGTCACTGGATACAAGTAATGCAATAGCTGTTAGAGGCGTGTATGAGATCTGCGGGCTGTGCCTCAGCCCGTCACAGGCAGTTATGAAAGATGTAATTCAATTTGCTTCAGAAAGAAAAACCCTAAAAGGCAGATTGGATAGCTGTATTTTAGCAAATGTGTTTGCACTAGGGTACCTTCTGTTGAGCAGTTCTGCCCACAAGCTGTCTGGAGAATATAGAACATCTCTCGAGCATGCTTGCCACCTTGAAGCAGGGCAGTCGGGAGCAGAAAAAAAAAGAACAGAATGCAGAAAAAAGGTGAAGAAAAAGAGAGAAATGAGGGACAGCAAGTCTACTACCATCAATACATTTAGAAATGAGATTAGCCAAGTGTGACAATAGAATTTAAATGACACACAGAAAGACACTCAGATTGCAGTAAATAACATACTATGGAAAATCCAGCCAGAGAGCACTTTCTGTTCAGCTTAGCTACAGAGTCGGAACGAAAGCACAGGTCGATTATTCATTTTACTGGCTCTTTTGCATTCCAGTGCTATACATTTTTTAAAAATCTTAGCGGTAATTGTTAGGATTCTTTTAAAAAAATTTTGTTTGCTTTTTCTTTCTTTTCCTTTTACCCCCTTTGGCTAGTCACTCCAAGCAGTTCACTACAGCCCCCATCCCACTCCTGAGGATGTGAACTCACCAACTATGTCATACCACAACGGGGTGTTAGCTGGCTGCACCGACACTACCCCCACGATCTCGGTCACTCTGTCGTTTTCCATTACTGTGAAGTTATAAAATGGCTCATCGAAGGTCAGCGGCACAGGTGAAGGGGGTGGTTTCTTAATCCACTCAATGTGCAGGCGAGCCGTGGAGAACTTCTGTGGGCGGCCGTTGTCCACAGCCTTGATCTACTCACGGACAGAGAACATAGATGTCTTAGGACTCGGATCCACGGTGCTGTGAGTGACATCTTCAGCACGTAGTGACAACGGGAAGACAAGATAGAGACTTGGGAAGACTGGGTCGTATAGTGCTGGGGACACAACTTGGTCTGGTGGAGGACTCACTCCCCGTTTGCCAGAGGATAGATAATCTGAGCCACCATCAACTTCTAGGTAAGGAAACCTTGAGAAACAGTCACTGCCCTTATAATTTGTTATGTTCTATGCACACGAGTTAGTTTACATGAATAGGAATAGCTGACCAAACTCCACACAGCATGACTACACACTTCACTTCCAGGGGGTGACATTTGAAAGGGATAAAGGCATGCTGCAAATTCCGCTAGGGGTCAGCGACCTACGCAGGGTGAGAGTGTGCATGCGTGCATGTGGGCATGCTTTGCAGCTTTTTCCTCTTGCTTTATGTGGTGATACACCCCACTTACACAGTGCCCTGAAATGTGAGGGCTATATGCATGGGGAAGACAGGGCTTCAGGCCAACTGCTGCTAAGGCTCTCCAGTCACACTGGGTATGAGGGGGTGAAGAAGAGCTCTCTTGGCAGCAGCCTCAGTTCCTGGAGGCAGTGTGGTGGTGCGGGGCATGACGAGAATGACTTCTCCAGTGGTCCGGAGGTGGCTGCTAGAATGACTGAGGGGGGCAAATCAGCTATGGTAACCTACGGCATCTGAAGATCTCCTCGCTGAGCTATGGTGAGCTGCTATGACATCCGGGTCTCCATTGGAAGGATCAGAAAGTTCAAGGAACACAAAACACTGACATAAAACTAAGAATAAATATTAAATTTTAAAATATTATATTTGC